TGTGAATGAGTATGTGGTGTTCTTGTGTGCTGTTTCAAAGAATGAATGAAACCTCCTAAGTCTAAAAGATCTTCTTTAAGGCATTTACAGTTCTTACAGAAACTCAACTGGAGTTTCTATATATTGGTTTCAATTGACTCAACTAAATGTTGAGGATTTGACACTACACATGTAGGGTTGTAAACGAGCCGAGCTTGAGCGAGCTTTGACTTGGCTAGTGTTCGATTCGTTCGAAATTGCTCGTGTTCGAAATTGCTCGTGTTCGAAACAGACTCATGAACAGTGTGTTCGTGTTCAACTCGATTTATATATTCGTGTTCGTGTTCGGCTCGAAATTGACTCATTAAAATTAAACTGAAAAAATAGATATAGTGCTGCATTCGAACCTGGATCAAATATATGCAAAATAAGGCGCATAACCACATTACCACAAGAGCAGTTACGATTTAAACATAGATATAAATATATATAATATATTATTATATAAATAATATGTGTAATATATTATTATATAAATAATTATATAATTTTTTTTTTATTTCGAGCTAAAATTAGCCGAACACGAGAGAACAAAGAGTTGTTCGTGTTCGGCTCGTTTATAATTCAAAGCTTTAAAAACTTGTTCGTGTTCGACTCGTTTACTTAACGAACGAGCCGACCACGAGCTGTTCGCGAACAACGAGCTTTTTTGACAGCCCTACTCACATGTGAAACTATATGGGGTCAAGAAACGGTTCGAATTTCTGTGGTGTGGGTCTAAATGCTAATCCTTTAGGGGAGTCAGTAGGTTCTAGGCTCTGGGGAGGGAAACATACCCCACTAAAAATGAGGTCAACATTCTCCTCACCTTGTTTTTGAAGTAGCAACTCATGTGACCTTGTCGCATCATACATTCAAATTTTTTATTTAGTTGAAAACATCTTTCTTTCGAATGTCGTTCTGCACGGTAGAAATGATAATATTGAGATTGCTCTCCACCATCTAGATTTCTTAACGGCCTTGGCCACTTGATGGCCTTTTCATCCTTGATTACCATTTGAATGTTGACACGTGACATGTTGAGTGATATGCATTCTTTTGTGATTGTGACTCACGATTTCCTCTTGGTTTGAACTTTTTTCGCTGTGAGATTTGATCGGTATCCCCGACATTATTCTTGCGCTTGCCCTCAATCACTCAAATTGTTTCTTGTGTGCACTGTTGACATCGTCTGCAGAGATTTGAGCTTCAATGCGATGGGCGTGATCATAGTAAGTGCGCACCATCTCTCGCATCAATGATGAATAGAAAGGTCCTGGGCGGAGCCCTCTAAGAGAGACTCCTCTCAGTAACTCCGAATCCACTCCAGGAATCGGGCGGGCTTCAGTGAAGATCCTGCAAAAGTATTCCTTGAGGGATTCCCCCTTATTTTGGTGAACTTCGGATAGGTGAGGTGAATCGCGGATGATCTGTTCATTTGTTGTGAACTGTTTTATGAATAATCTGACAAGCTCACTAAATATGTTGATGGTGCCCCCCGGGATAAAATCATGTGCAAGCTTGACCATTGAGAGTTGTCAGGAGCACTTGACAGAGAAGTGCATTAGAAGCACACGTGCATAATAGTTTGATAGTGGTCGACGTGCTCGTAGGAGTTAGTTTCCCCTTCATAGGCATCGATGTTTGGGAATTTGAAGCCTACTGAGATATCGGCCAAAGGATTGGATGCTTGGAATTTGCGGCGAGTAGGGAAGCAATCTCTCTTATCCGGAGGGAGCTCTTCACAAACCAACATCGTAGCTTATCTCAGATGATATCAATGGAAGAGACATTAAGGCAGTGTCATGCCAGGTGAGCTGCATGAGATAGAAGAGTGGAACTTGTAATGTCAGGAATATCAGTGTCTCTTCTGGGTAGGGGACTTGTTTCATCAGTAGGAGAGAACTCGGTGAGTGGTGTATTTCCTGTTGAGTGTTGAAGTGGTGGTAACTAAGTTTCATTGGGTTGGGTTTGTCGCTCCCCGCGTGGGAGATGAAGGATCTCGTGTTGAGAATCCTCCAATCTACGTACTCGATCTTCCAAAGAATGATCCAAACCAAGCGGGTTTATGCCTTATGGAGTAGGAGAATGCAGAGGTTGATGACCTTGTTGGCTTTGAAAATATTTCTGGATGGGTGCTAGGGATGTAAGACTGACTATCATAACTACTTGTTGGCATGCTTTGTATTTCTTGGTCTATTTGTCTAAATTGTCTAAATTGTCTTATATTTTTTATTTGGTAAAGGTACGCAGCTCACAATTCATATGTATGTACATACCTCACACCTAAAATCTCATATTTACATTCACAGTACTTTGCCACTTTAAACCTGTGCATGAAAAGGTGTATTTCAATTTTAAAAAGTGATAATTGTGCTACTTTTGATGTGATATTCAATTCACAGCAAATGTTGACCTTAGGCAAACAAATAGGCTGAAATCCATGCTTAAAGTCAACTATGAGCTATAATACTTTAGATGAGCCTACTGAAGAATTATTCGTCAGATACAACCTAAATAAGTTTGATCTACAATCTCATGAAACTATTTGAACTTTATCAAAGAATGATAAGCTCAAGTCTCTCATTTAGTTCTTATTGGTAAAAGGGGGCTTGGAGTAAAGATCACATATTGTAGTTAAAATAAAAATTCAGTGGATTAATCATGATTTAGAATAAAATTAATTTAGTTTAATTATAATTTAAAGTTCTTTAACTTAAAAGCTATATTGTTTCATATATGCTCATTGATAATCGAAGACCTTTAATTGCTAATTGAAATGTAGATGAAGGAATGAGGGGAACTCAACTGAGTTAACCTCAACCACTCCCATTAATGTTCTCATAAAGTCTTGCAAATACTAAGAATTTTTATATTTTTGATTTGATGATATTCTGAATCAAAACCGCTATTATAAATAATGCACTATAAGGTTTGTACATAGGTAATTTTTAACCCCATATATAAATAAATCTATAGACAACATCCAATGAAATAAAATTAAACAAATTTAATTGATCTTTAAGAAAATTTGATAAGACTTCATATATAATCAAGCATATTTTGTGGATAAGGGAATAATGCAAAGCAAATTAATATTCTATTTATTATCATGTGAAGGGGTGTTCATTAATTTTTTCTTAACACTAAGCAATCTACCTGAAAACATCTAATAAAATTATTTTTTGAAACTTAAGAAAGTAAAGATTGATTACAAATTTTTTTTAGACTAAATTAATTTGATATATGAATAAAAGATCATACTTTCATTTTCTATTATTTTTCATATATTATCTTTAAATTTATAAATTAATTATGATTTAATATTTGAATACCTAATGAAAATATATGTGAAGATTGATATATATACCTTAATTATCAAAGCGAAAAAAGAAACAATGTATTTAATGATTTGCATTTAAATATAATATAACATATTTGTATATGTACATTTGAGTCGCACATTTATTTTAATTTAACAAGAACCTTTTTATTTATTTTATATGTTATTTTCCATCCCTTAATTATATAAAGGCCAGCCGAGCCATGTTGTCAACTTGCATTGAATTCATCCAAGTCAAAATTGGCTAACTCGTAAGATTTTATTGATTATTGAAACTAAACCTAATCCAAGGTCTCATGTTACATTATCAAGCTATTAGAACTTGAAAACAATGACAAACAGGTCGCTCAGAATGTTAGTCGATTCAACTCAAGGCTTAACAACTGACCTTTATGGAAATTTCTTGTGCAAGTAGACACGCAACCATATGCTAACTTATAACTTGATTAATTTTCATAAATAATCATCAAAGCCTAATTGCAATTGTCTAATATAGATATGATTTTCTTGTGTTATATTCAAGAAATTCAATATCTTTCTCAATTGATTTGATCAATGTATTCAAGCCATTTGTCTTAAGAAACTCAAATATCCAATCTCAATTATGTGAGATTTTGTGCAACCTATTGTATTCTAATAAAGTTCAACCGAAATTAATCAATAAATTTGAATCAATCAATGGCTTAGTGGCATCATATTTTGCATATTGTTTTCCATATATTATCTTTTAAGTGTTAACTATAACTTTATTAATTTATTTTTTTCACTTTTTTAAAAATAATGTAGCATTAAATGAATATTGCTTTTATAAAGTTGATAAATTTTATTTTCCCATAATTAACTTTGTTTAGAGACATTAAGTAATGCTTATAAGAATGAAGTACTTACTCTATTTATTAGTTTGTGTGCTAACACATAATTTGTATTATTATTCCTTCAAAATAGGTGATATAATGCAAACAAAACATGTCATTCATTTGACCCAAATCAATTGCTTAAAATTTCTTACTTAAAAATCATATCAAATCGAATTTAAGTTTAAAATAATACACTTCAAATTTTATGTGGAATAATATTCATAACTAATATTCATGAATGATATCAAACATTATTGGATTTAAGTTGTCCCCTTAACTAAGTTATTAATTAGTATAATTCATAAATTTTCATACTCAACTCTTGTACACAATCCTAGATGTCAATTGTTCGTGAAAGATTCTTCTCCTAGCCTTCTCCAACTAAACATCACTTGTTGCCCTGACTTTATTCTAATTTGGTAGCACCAAGTTACCAACACCTATCACATAATTTCAGCTTAATGATACTCCTTTGCTTAGCCTCGGTTTCTCGACACTCATCTTATAGCCAATTCTCTATTACTTGACTCTCACTAATTAGACTTAAATTCATATTCACAGTCCTTACCACCTACTCATACACTCATCTAATGCATGTCCCACCGACCTTCACTCTCACTAATTAGACTTAATTCTCTATTAATCGACACTCATCTAATGCATGTCCAACCAACCTTGATGAACCAAAAAAATTGATGACAACATTCCACCATTTTGCATGAATATATCATTCCCTTCCAGAGATGTATTTCATAGTAAATATTTTGCAAAATAGAGGAATATTTACAATTATAACAAGCATGTGCCAAGGATTAATAAATACGTACATCCTCCCTTCTTCATTGAATGATCATTGACCTTCTTGAGGAGGAGAAAAGTGGCCTAAACTAGGTACATCAAGATCTATTCTGTACAATTTCAATAAATTATGCTAAAGATAGTGGTATTATTGTTCATAAATCATGCACTAATGACTAAGTCATGCGCTAATTAGTGGATCAATGTTAGGATACATAGCATTAAATTAATGTTGTGGTTGGACATCTGACATACTTAATAAAATGAAGAATTAAGAGACCATGTTTAGAATGCATACGAAAAGGGGAGTTCTGAGAACAGTAGCAGCCTAGCAGGGATCGTCACCAGATTCAATTAATAAGCTTTAAGAGAGCCTCAAAAGAGGTGCAGTATAAATGCATGTCATAAAGGCCATTATTGTAGTTCTTCTGAAATCGAGCATCAGCTATATTTAATATCATATTTATTGTTTTGATATCATAATAAGCTTAAGTGATTTGGCAGCTTAATTAGAGATTTCCTTTGTTCCTGACGTGCCTTTTTGGATGCTATGAATCTTGGAGAATTTTGGAACTCCATTTGTGCTGGGAGAAGAAGGCTTCATTCATGTCAGTTTAATCTTAGTTGTGAGAATATATTTGAAGCTTATTTGCTGTTCGCCAGTAAGCATACTATGGTTTGGGAAGGATTGTGAGTTTTCCTTCTATTTGTACTCTATGATCGTGCAATCTATGTTTTTTCTTTCGTTGATTAAATCCCCCGACCTTTTTTGTGGATGTAGGACTTGTTGAAGTTCAACTGGTTAAATTTAGAAACTAATTTGGTTTTGTTTTTTTTTTCTTTTTTGTATGTTACTTTGTGGCATATCATTTTCTATCCGTCGCACACATTCATGTTGTTTTATTTGGTTTCCATTGCAATAAATTGATTTTAGAGTGCATTTTTTAGATTTACTGCCATGAGTTTTAAGATTGAGATGTTGGATATTTAGAACGTTGGAGAACTAAGATTTTTTGACTATCCGGTGATACTTATACAAATCTTTCTATAAACAGCAAAGGATTGGTTGTTCTTATTGGAGTATACATTTCGGGAAAGCAAGAAAGAAGATTTTTTTTATAATACAGTTCTGATATTCAGAGCGAAAATAGAGAAGTCTACAAATAAAATAAGCCAAATCAAAAGTGTCCAATACCGGGTTCTAAGCAATATTCTTATACGAAAGCATCAATTTAACCCTATTTCAATTCAAAAGTAAAGGTAACAGGGCTCACAAGGCCTGTCGGTCCCTACTGGCAAGATAGATCCCGAATTTGGAGAACTAGGCTAGACTTTTCCTGTTGAGTGTTGAAGTGGTGGTAACTAAGTTTCATTGGGTTGCGGTTGTCACTCCCCGCGTAGGAGATGAAGGATCTCATGTTGAGAATCCTCCAGAATCCTCCATCCAATGCACTCATCTTCCAAAGAATGATCCAAGCCAAGCGGGGTAATGCCTTATGGAGTAGGAGGATGCAGAGGTTTGATGACCTTGCTGGCTCTGAAAATATATCTAGATGGGTTGCTACGGATGGAAGACCGACTATCATAACTACTACTTGGCATGCTTGGTATTTCTTGGTCTATTTGTCTAAATTATCTAAATTGTCTTGTATTTTTTATTTGGTAAAGTTCTGTAGCACACAATTCTTATGTATTTACATACCTCACACCTAAAATCTCATATTTACATTCACAGTACTTTGGCACTTTAAACCTATGCATGAAAAGGTGTATTTCAATTTCATAAAGTGGTAAATGTGCTGCTGTGATATTAAAGATTTGAGTGCTACAATGTAAATATGAAACTTTAGCTGTGAGACATGCGAATGAATAAGAATCTATACAGGTTCTTTTGAGACTTTGCATTAGCTTTACTTGGCCACTTTCCACACTGAATAGCTTTCTTTTCTTACTCAAAAGTTTGATTATTGATTTTGTTCAGAGCGGGATCTGAATAGCTCCTGTATGGAATATGACCCAGCTGGTCTACAAGGGCTGTAATAAAAGACACTTGTTTGTTCACAGCGAGATTTGAAGAGCAGTTCAAATTTTGGGGCATTGTTAAGCTCCTCTATGTCCACAGCGAATAATAGCCGTAGGATCTGGATGGCCTCGATTTGATTTCCCATGAGTATTTACATAGATGCAATACAATTTTTTATGTATTTTCGAATATCTAAATATGTATTTATGTGTGTCACGATTAAACTCTTGATATTTATAAAAAAAATATGGATCTGGACTTTACCATGAATTTTGATATTTGAGTGGCAATTTGAAAAATGAACGAGTCATGGTGGTTGATTTGTAAATAGCAAGTTTCGGGTGGCATGTATGCATGTAAATCGTGATTTTAAAATTAGATCAATTTATTTCCCTATATTACAGTTATCTTATATTTCTGACCTAATTTTTAAGGTTTGGTTGTGGCTTTAAGTTTTAGAGATAAGTTAAGGTTTTAACTGTTTCAATGGTCATTTTCTATATTCAAATTTAGCATTAAAATTCATTAATGCTCAAAAAAGATCTAAAAATTTGCTATGAAAAATGTGGGGATGGAAGTTATGTGGAATTTGAAGTGTTTGGAACATAAATAAATTTATATAATGTATAAAAATTTTGAGGACATAGCCTTAAAATATGTAAAAAGTAACTACATATGGTGATAGTATTACAACTAAAAAATTAAGCTATTTTCTATAATAAGCTTATTTGTTACAATAAATGATTTTCTCTAAGTCAAGAGTCTTCATGAACTAATTTGATCATAGAAAAATAGAAAAATATATACTAATAATTTAAAACATTTTTATAACTTGTGAAATACATTTAAAAAAGGACATTAGTATCTTTATGACAAAAGAAAGTTATATATGAATCATGATTTTAATGTTTTTATAACTTTTAATTTTAACTTATTTAAAGTTAATTTTCATGATAATTTTCATAAATATTTTAGGTTATTTATGCACTAAAATTTAAGCCACTCAAATCTTAAAGCATTATTTATGGCCATCTAATCTCATCTCACAATATCATCCCAAAGTCAAAATTAAAGTAGGCATGATAGCACATCTAGTGACTAATTAAGGTCAGTGTTTCATCACTCAATGGTGGAAATAAAAAGCAGCTAATTGTAATTGTAACATAGAGTCATGATATTAAAACTAATCTATAGTCCCACCTGTCTTAAAATTGTGATGATTTGTATTTCTTTGGCATGATGATTTTAAATGCCATATTTCATATAGAAAATGAAGCTTGTGTTGAAATAAAATCAAATTGGAGAACTCTTTTATTCCCTTCGGGGAGCTCGGTACCTCTTATATTTATTTCATTGCCTCCTTTTTTTAATTTAATTATTTTTTATTTAACCGTTTTTGTGATATTATTTCCATTTTTTACTTTTGTACATTTATTTCTATGTTCTACCACCACTCCTCTCATTCTTCCCATGTTAAACCAATTAGAAAAAAATTTTAATTTGCATTCCCTCAACTCCAGACAACAAAATTTTCATGCTATGGCCCTGAAAATTCACAAGATATCTTCTAAACATATTAATATTTTCTTATGACAATCATTACAAAAAAGGTGTTCAAAACCGGCACAAAAATCAACAGCTTTTCTTGCATCAGATTTTATGAGTAAATTTTCTTACAATTTCGGACGCGTGTGCACTAACTTACATTTTACCTACAAAATAAATCACTAGTTTTTAGTAAGAACTTGTTCCGATAGTAACCAACGTATTAGTCTATCGGTACATGATATATTATAAAATAATGGACTGTTCTGATCTAAACCCTGAACTCTAAACCCTAAACCCTAAAAGCAAATGACCAAATCAAATCCAGTTTTTCAAGTCTTTTTTTTTTATCTAAATTGGGCTAAGGTGGGGTCAAAAATGAATTTATGTGGAATGAGGAATTTTTCTTATTCTAAAGATAATATAACCTTTTTCATTATTGAAACTCAAACTTCTAGAGTAATGAGTCTACCTCACTTCTTATATTGAGTCTCCTGGTTTAATTTATTATTATTCTTCAATTTAGTATAACCAAAAGTCTTATTTCAAATTGTGATTTTTTTAGGAATTCATTATTGTCTCATATAAAATTTATAGTATAATAATAAAAAAATCACCATGCCATTAAGCGAATGTTGACCTTTGGCAAACAAATAGGCTGAAATCCATGCTAAAAGTCAACTATGAGCTATAATACTCAAGATGAGCATACTGAAGAATTATATGTCAAATACAACCTAAATAAGTGTGATCTACAATCTCATGAAACTATTTGAACTTTATCAAAGAATGATAAGCTCAAGTCTAGGGGGCTTGGAGTAAAGATCACATATTGTAGCTAAAATAAAAATTCAGTGGATTAATTACGCTTTAGAATAAAGAGAATAAAATTAATTTAGTTTAATTATAATTTAAAGTTCTTTAACTTAAAAGCTATATTGTTTCATATATGCTCATTGATAATCGAAGACCTTTAATTGCTAATTGAAATGTAGATGAAAGAATGATGGGAACTCAACGGAGTTAACCTCATTATTTTTTTCTTAACACTAAGCAATCAACCAGATATCATCTAATAAAATTATTTTTTGAAACTCAAGAAAGTAAACATTGATTACAGCATTTTTGTTTTTAATTTCATAGACTAAATTAATTTGATATATGAATAAAAGATCATACTTTCATTTTCTATTATTTTTCATATATTATCTTTAAATTTATAATTTAATTATGATTTAATATATGAATACCTAATGAAAATAGATGTGAAGATTGATATATGTACCTTAATTATCAAAGCGAAAAAAGAAACGATGTATTTAATGATTTGCATTTAAATATACTATAACATATTTGTATATGCACATTTGAGTCGCACATTCATTTTGATTTACCAGGAAATTTTTTATTTATTTTATATTTTATTTTCCATCCCTTAATTATATATAGGCCAGCCGAGCCATGTTGTCAACTTGCATTGAATTCATCCGAGTCAAAATTGGCTAACTTGTAAGATTTTATTGATTATTGAAACTAAGCCTAATCAAAGATCTCATGTTACATTATCAAGCCATTAGAACCCAAATACAATGCCAAACACGTCACTCAGAATGTTAGTCAACTCAACTCAATGCTTATCAACTTGCCTTTATGGAAATTTCTTGTGCAAATAGACACGCAACCATATGCTAACTTATAACTTGATTAATTTTCATAAATAATCATCAAAGCCTAATTGCAATTGTCTAATATAGATATGATTTTCTTGTGTTATATTCAAGAAATTCAATATCTTTCTCAATTGATTTGATCAATGTATTCAAGCCATTTGTCTTAAGAAACTCAAATATCCAATCTCAATTATGTGAGATTTTGTGCAACCTATTGTATTCTAATAAAGTTCAACCGAAATTAATCGATAAATTTGAATAAATCAATTGCTTAGTGGCATCATATTTTGCATATTATTTTCCATATATTATCTTCAAGTGTTAACTATAAATTTATTAATCTATTTTTTTCACTTATTTAAAAATAATATACCATTAGATGAACATTGCTTTTATAAAGTTGATGAATTTTATTTTCCCATAATTAACTTTGTTTAGAGACATTAAGTAATGCTTATAAGAATGAAGTACTTACTCTATTTATTAGTTTGTGTGCTAACACATAATTTGTATTATTATTCCTTCAAAATAGGTGATATAATGCAAACAAAACATGTCATTCATTTGACCCAAATCAATTGCTTAAAATTTCTTACTTAAAAATCATATCAAATCGAATTTAAGTTTAAAATAATACACTTCAAATTTTATGTGGAATAATATTCATAACTAATATTCATGAATGATATCAAACATTATTGGATTTAAGTTGTCCCCTTAACTAAGTTATTAATTAGTATAATTCATAAATTTTCATACTATACTCTTGTACACAATCCTAGATGTCAATTGTTCATGAAAGATTCTTCTCCTAGCCTTCTCCAACTAAGCATCACTTGTTGCCATGAATTTATTCTAATTTGGTAGCACCAAGTTACCAACACCTATCACATAATTTCAGCATATTGATACTCATTTGCTTAGCCTCGGTTTGTCGACACTCATCATATAACCAATTCTCTATAACTTGGCTCTCACTAATTAGACTTAAATTCATATTAACAATACTTACCACCAACTCATACACTAATGCATGTCCCACCAACCTTGATGAACCAAAAAAATTAATGACAACATTCCACCATTTTGCATGAATATATCATTCCCTTCATATAGCAAGCATTTACATTATATGCTAAAGATAATGGCATGTAATTTTGTGATACGTACATCCACCCTTCTTCATTGAATGATCATTGACCCACATGAGGAGGAGAAAACTGGCCTAAACTAGGTACATCGAGATCTATTCTGTACAATTTCAATAAAATGTGCTATTTTTGTTTATAAATCATGCACTAATGACTAAGTCATGCTCTAATTAGTAGATCAATGTTAGGATACATAGCATTAAATTAATGTTGTGGTTGGACATCTGACATACTTAATTAGTAGGCAAAGTTTAAGAAGGAGAGCAATAAAATGAAGAATTAAGAGACCATCTTTAGAATGCATACGAAATATGCAGTTCTGAAAACAATAGCAGCCTAGCAGGGATCACACTACACTCAATTAATAAGCTTTAAGAGAGCCTCAAAAGACGTGCAGTATGCTTCTCCAATAAATGCATGTCATCGAGGCCATAATTGTAGTTCTTCTCAAATTGAGCATCAGCTATCTTTAATTTCATATTTATTGTTTTACAGCTTCCTGCAGGTGTGGGGTGCAGCTCTTGTACTCTGTTTGACTTTCCAAGTCACATTTATTTATTAATTAATATTCAATTTGTTTTTTTTTTCTAATATTTTATTATGTAAAGATTGCATAATAGAAATAAAATTATAAATCAGCACAAAACATTTCATTAGAACACAAAACAATACATTAACAGCATGGCTACGTGCAAAAAAAAAAGCAAAAACAGATTAAATCCAAGAAACTACTAACCCACAGCACAACATGCTGGCAGACATGCAGATACTACTAACTCTTACAATAAGGAAGAATAATAAAGCTAATTTATCTTAACTTTTCTTTCTAAAAGATAAACCAAATGATATGGCATACATCATTTAGCCTACATCTTAGAAAAAAAAAACATAAGAATAAATTAGCATTATTAGTCATAACACGGGCACGTAAACATGCATGGCCATGCACGGACAAGCTGATCAAGGAAGTAGACCGCCGCCGCCGGGGCCACCGAGCCCACCAACACCTCCAGGGCCACCGAGACCGCCGCCGAGCCCATTCCCGGTGATGCTGCCAACCCCTCCGAAGGTGCCGGCGCCGCCGCCAAGAAGAGGCAGGCCGCCGAGGGAGACTCCTCCAATTCCCGCGTAGCCGCCAACCCCTCCAAAGACTATGTTTTTCTCATCGGTAAGATGTTCATGAACGTCTTTTGGGCTAGTAGAAACTTTTACTTGGCTTTCTATTATTTTTCTCGCATTAATTTCATGGGTAAGTGAAACAATTACTAGAGCTAAGGAAAGCAAGACGAAGAAGCTCCTTCCCATCTCTCTCTCTCTCTCTCTCTCTCTCTCTCTCTCTGCGTCTGGTCTCAGAGAAGCTTTTGTTTTAATTTTGAATGGTGCTTGGCTCCTATTATATAGGAAGGGAAAGGGGGGGGAGGGAGGGACATAGGCAGCAAGCTATGGAAGTAAATGCACTCAACAAAACACCAGCAAATGAATAAATATTTAAACCCATGTTGAGTTATTTTATATTATATAAATTGATTGATTCTCTATATTTGTATCGATTTATGATATAAAGGAAAATTGTTTAATTAATATTTAAGTAAATAAAACTTCAGCATCAGTTAAATAAATTATATATTGAATAAATAGGTGAAATGTTTAACATCGGCAAGAATGGGCAGAAATCGATCATACAAGAAGTTCATGATGAAAATGCGTAATGTTTAAGAGATAAATAAATATAATTTTGTTTATTAAGCTAAAGCTGTATTTTTTAAGATATTTCCAAAAACACTTCTTTTAGTAATTAATCAGATTACAAAAAAATAATTAAGCAAAAACATATTTTCTTTGAAGAATCTAATTTAAAAAAAAAGTATCATCATTATATATGATTCACGCATCATTTCCTCTCACATGCTGTCTCATTACAAGAAACAAAACACAGATTATCATTAATTTAAACCAAATAATTGAGTGAGCTCTAGCTAATTTAATTTTAATTTTCTTGACATTCTTAATTACACTTACATTTGCATTTCATGATTGAAACTTTTGATGAATGATGTGAAAATTACGGAAGGGTATAAGGGGCAACCAAAATGAAAGCAAAACATGGAAAATAACAATAACAATAAACTCATCCCGACTAAAATGAACTTGACATGCTTCCTATGAGCTAATTTCCTTCTCATTGCAAGTAGTATATATTCATCAATAACAAGGTAAACAAGAAGATTATAGAGACATATCTCAAAAGTGACAGAAGAACACATCCTAAAAAATGTAGATATGAATCAGCATTTCAACTAATCATCAGAAAAATATAATGTTAGACGTTCAAACATGATTTGGAGTCGAATGTGCCAACCATACATATAAATTATACATGAATGTTAATAATTTAAAATAGATAAGTTGAAGAACAAAATTCATATATTGGTAAATCTTTCGCTTTCGAGTTTCTGCTGCGCTTCCCATAACCAATGAGCACAACCTATGCAGCAGGTTGATTAACCTAAGCTGCAAAAGAGAGTTCAATGCTGGTTAACAAAACCACAGCTTAGGATAGTTGCATTCCGTAAATCTTCATAATGCATTAAACAGACTACTGCAGAGAAATAATATGCATACAAATACTACTTCAATTCGAACAAGTTTGATTCATCCGAATTAAATATAAAATAGTTTGATGTCAAATAATAAGGAATAGTTAATATAAACTAGTGACTAATGAGTAATTAGCTACACTAAGGTTTTGTTAGACACGGGAAACCATATCCCTCACCAAGGACATGTCCCCTCTGCCTTGTCAGCTGGGATCTACATGCCCATCACATGATTTCGCCCTTGATTATACGTCCATTGATCACGAACATAGAAAACTCACGCAAACTAACTCACATAAGAACGATCAACTCGGCCCACTCAACTTTATATCATATATGAAGTTGACCAGACACAAATACACTCAACCTAAACGCAATCAATCAGCTGAGTATATAAGCCAAAATATCCGTCCCAAATCAACCTAACATGAAACCAACCCACCTTACCCATTTATTATATAAATCATGTAATTTTCTAGATTACTCTAATTAGCTCAAATATGATGAGTTTAACGCTATTAATCTGAACCGAAAAAACCAAACTCAAAATTAATTTCACGTTGATTTCGAGTGGATTGGGTTAATTAGAACCTATCTCAAATGAAAAATAGGTAGACTAAAACCCGACTTGAATAAAAATTGGACCAACTCAAAGTTGGACTTTTTATGCTACGATAAAGCTAGGACCTTTAGTGACACCCTTGAGTCTTTTTTTTTTATTATGTCCAGCTCCCATCTTCCTCAACTCAATCTCAAAAGCACAATCTTCTTTACTAGGTCCATTTGGGACAGTTTTCTAGCTGTTTTGTTTTTCAGACTGCCACCGCAACTCTGTTTGCGTGCTTTCTTGTACAAAATTGTTTTTTTCAACATGACATGTTAAAGTGTGATGGCTGTTAGAAAAATACGGTCAGACTTTGTAATAGTCAGTGCAATTTTTTTAACACAATTTGTTCTGCAACAGCTTCACTATTGCTTCTACAAACCGTTGCAACTACCCCAAACAGACCCAAAGTCCCACTCCAATGACTCGTCTCATTTTCATCTATCGTAACATAATTTGCATGAGCCGACAAACCCCCATCTCATGTCGTCCTCTCCTTGCAAAATCAGTCCTTGATTGTGACTTACTCCCCAATTGCGGCTTCTTTCACTCAAGCCCAGTGTCTAAACTTTCTCTTATAATGCCGCATTGAGCTCAACTTCCTTGAGTTTGATGATTTATTATACTCCAAGTACGGTATAATTTTAATATTCTTTCACAGCAATACTATCACACAAAATGTAAGATTAAAAACATGAAGAACTGTTTATCTTCAATCTAGTTAATTTGAAGAATCGTTGATATTTGATTGGTGTTATATTTGGTCAAAATCTAACAGTAAACTAGTTGTTTAGTAGTGGCAAATTTGGGTATGACTACCACATGATATCAGCATAGTTAACATATCCATAAACCTTAACCCAAGGTAGGCAAGGTGATTATAAAACCATTGCAAGAAGGAAAACATGTGAAGAAGTGGTTATACAAAATAAAAAATAAAAAATAAAACTAAAATTCATATTGACCATAAGATTCATCTTCATGTTCAACACATTTGAATTTTGGACAAAATGTTAACTTTAAATCAACTCAAATTACAGTGTCAAGTTGCGCACAATCATACAAAATATATATGCACTTGAAAGTTGTCGAATAATAAAATTGGTCTCAAGATCATAAAAGACCAAAACACCGCTATGAACTCCACTTAAAATCTAGAAATAATACATAAATACCAATTTTAAGTTGTCATTCATAATCATGCTACAACATTAAATAGTGTGCCAACATACTTGGCGTCCTTAAATGATCTTAACATAGACTGAGGGTTCCAGCAGACCTCTTAGCAACACAAATGAAAATAAACTTTTTCAAACTTGGTTTCAAAATCAATATATAAACCAGGATGATCAAGCTAATAGGCCAATAAATTAGATTTTATCTTGCTGAAGCTACTTTATCTGAGTCAACGTGAATCATCTCAATATCCACACTAAAATATGCATTACATCAAAAACCAAAATCAAACCAACTTAAATAAATGAACCCATTTGTCCATGAACCACAATATAAGACCAATTGGTCCGTAATCCGCCGTTGAAGTTGGTAGAGCATTCATCGTATCTCTTCCCGGATAGGCTCGAGCATGTATCTCATTAGTGGCATGGCTAAGGTTTAGGAATAAGAAAAAAAAAATTAGTGGAGGTGACTTGGGCAGGAGCGGATGCTAGGAAACCATAGGATGGGACTATGGTTGAACTGACTCTAATACCAAATGATAACGGAGGAGAAAGCCTAAACCACCAAAAAAAAAAAAAAGAAGCAATAAGGAAATAGGGTTACAACGCACACAAACTAAATAACATCACCGAAACAAAAAATGAAGACACAATACTCTTCGAAAGTGCATCCCAAGGGCGATTGAGGTTGGTTAGGTGGATTGGGATGGCTAGCAAGGGTGGCGGCAGCAACGATGAAGTGTTGGGCAGTATGTTTGGCAACAAAAGGGTGGGTTGCGCGGCTGGACAACCTGTTTGGAGGGGTTGCACAGCAGTTTTAGTGGTTAGAAAGTGGGCTGGAGGCAATTGGGGACGAATCGGGGCGGCTAACGGCTAAGGGGGAAGGGAAGGGAAGGGAAGGGAAGGGAAGGCTTAGGGAAGATAAAAGAGAAGATACAATCACCACCTCGGAGTAGGATATAGCCAGAGCACCAACACTTCCTCAGATACAGCCGACAAAGAGAAAAAAAAAACTTTACACGATACATAGCAAGAACTAAAACCCAAAATCCAGAAAATAACAATTTAAAAACTCTCACGGGGAAAACCAAAAAGGAAAGCTCGCATAAGGAAATCACAGAAAAGAAAGGAGGGGAAAGGGATTGGTGGCAATGTCGCCCTTCCCAATATGCCGCTCGATCGAGCGGGAGTGTGACGGGACGGGAGACACGAAGGGAATGCTGATAGACCCTTCAAAAGACTCTCCCGGGCTGCTCGCCCAGGATTCCCCAAGATCGGTCATCAATAGACCAGTTGGGTTCATACTAGTGCGGGATCTCCCAGCTCCCGCCACGCCCATGCGGAGAAAGGCCCGTGTCAATTAGTCTCTTTTAGATTCTACAGTATCAATAAGACAATATGAGCTTTCTAAATAAATATTACCTATGATGCAAGACAGGTTTTGTTTATTATACAACTTATAAAATCAAAAGGCAAGCTTAGAATACCCTTAGATGAAGGTTCATCTTGAGGCTTCATTGCTGGAAATAGAAGAACTTCCTGAAACAAGAAAATCAGAATAAAATGCATTAGTGCTAAGTCAAAAGAAACAAACATTAAAAAGAAAAGTACCATAGGACCATAAACAAAGAACCTTAATGTTCTGTGAATCAGTAAATAACATGGTCAGACGATCTACTCCCATTCCCCAACCACCAGTTGGGGGTAAACCATATTCAAGGGCAGTGCAAAAGGATTCATCAAAAGCCATTGCCTCATCATCACCTGATTGACGACTCTGAATGAGGAGGACAAGAAACAAATCAGAATATACTGTCATTGCAAAACCAAAAAGATAAATACAACAATAGCTATGAAGACTATTGGTTTTACAAACAAATTAATTGTTTTATATATCCACCTTCAGTTGTTCTGCAAAACGTTCACGCTGCACAACGGGGTCATTCAGTTCTGTGTACGCATTGCAAACCTAAGATAGATAAAGGGTACAAGTAATTTAAAACAGGAACTTGTTAAAAGAAACGATGAAATCTGACTTAATATATCATACCTCATGCTTATTGATGAACAATTCAAACCTCTCAGTTAAACCTGGTCGTGATCTATGCCATTTTGCTAATGGACTCATGATCTCAGGATGGTTAATGATGAATGAAGGATTCACACAAGTTTCCTCAAGGAAATGACCAACCAACTGTCAATTAAAAAAAAAAAAGAATAAGTAATATAGTAAAAATTTGTCTTACATGTTGACTTTTTGAAGTAAAAAGAAGTACCGAGACTAAATATATTACAGAAAAAATCATTTCACTTCGTATTAGGACATATTTAAAAAGGCATTAACATTAAATGCTAAAATAAGATTTAGCTTGCTTACTAAAAAAATTATGAATATACATTTATGCATATTGAAGCAAGTCATCCGCACGATCATTAAAATTATCTCACTTAGATTAACTTTACAAACCCTCCTCCCCATTCAACTCTAAGATGTTGCAACATATTTTATTAGAGGGCGTATAAACAGATCAGGCTCCTGCTAATTAAAGGTTCAAGAAAAGGTTACTAACTTATGTTTAACCCTGTATTATAGAATAAATATTTCCGTGCTTCAAGTTGTTTGTATTTAAAGGATTCATAACATTGCTCCAGGCTACCATATATAATTACAAATATGCTCAACCATAAAAAAGCAACAGAATAATTTGTTTTTAAGTTGCTTGCTTTTAAAGGATTTATAACAGTTCTCTCTCTTTTGGAACCCAACAAGCAATACAAATACTTAACCTCAGAATATAACAAATGGACAAAAGAGCACATATCATAGTGCAAAATAATAAATACTTAAAAATAATACTTATTTACAGACCAATGATCTCCTGAACATGTGGCAGTAAAAATAAAAATAACCAAAAACTGTATGCTCAGTGCTAGATGAAAAAATAAGCACCAATCATTATGAATATTTGTCAATTGCAACAATGCGGATTCCTGTAATGTCAGGAATTGCAGTTAGCGGAATGATTGTTTTTACTTTTGAGCTACCACATAGCAAAGATTTTAGACCCTGATTTAAGATTTGGAATTAGGTCATTTTGAATGGTGTTTCAAGTCTAATTTTTGAGATGTCAAAAATTTGACCTAGAGCCTTTCTATATGTTCAGCTATAATGCATAATGCAGCAATGTATCATGATTATGGGTGAAGTATTACATCACACTTTCTCAAGCTCCATAATCTATACGACAGTGAAAAGAAATTTGTAGTACTATGGATATTGCATTAAGCGTCATCAAACATAGTTCAAAACCACCATATCATAATGAAAAAATATCAATCCATGCAAATAAATGAAAGAAATGATTTTCTATTTAAACTGAAAAGTGAAAGGAAGAGCATTGTATTCTTGCTGCAACTTCCTTGCCTAGCTTTAATGATAAATTTCCTTATTTTTAATCTAAAAAAAATAATTGACAGAGTATTGCTAGCAATATTTCATTTTACATTAAAATTACAACATCTTAAAGCAAGTATAAATAATAATAATAATAATACAATTTTCAAATGTAATAAAGAAAATATTAAAATATGCAAAAAAAAACTTAAGGTCCTGTTTATTCGGCAACAAAACGGTTGCACTGTACTCATTGTGCTAGGGTTTTGGAAATCAATAGGTTCGGTCAAAAGAATTTTAAATGCACTTCATTCTCTAGTTCAATTTCAATGTATTTCAAATTTATTCATTTGGGCGAATTTCAAAGACACTGTTTTGTGTAAAGCTTTGCCTACTATCGTTGGCAGGCGGCCGCCGCCATCAGCACCACCGTTAACGGGTTCTTTTACATTGAATTAGTTTTTCGTCAAACCAAAAAAAATAAAGTTGAGCATTTATTTTACACTGAGCCAAATAACTCTAGAGTATTTCAAATATAAAATTATTCCTTTTTCAACAAACCAAACAACCCCCAAGAAACCTAAACCATAACTGCCAGTATTACGGTACTAGAAAAACCAGAGCTATGAATCTTACTGTAATCACAACTGATATTTAAAACTCGTTGAGGTGAATATGAATCTTACCATTATGATGAGAAAATATCTTGAGACACAAAATGGAAAAGCTAAGTAATCAGTAGTAACAAAAATGCAAATGGAAGTAAACATCTACAGAGAAGGTCATTTAAGCATGAATATTGTGTGGCGAACCAGCATAAGCTAAAAAAGATGTAAAAAACTATATCATGATTGAATAAACGAATGTATCATTATCATGATTGCATGTTAAGAATCGCCAAAGCAAAAAAAAAAATTCATATAATTAGCACGCAAACAGATAAAAAAAAACAAAAAAATATTCCACCAACATGATCTTTTAGACAATATTAATGGATCGAGTTAATAATAAACTCTGGGAGGACATGCCCAGTAATCAATCAACAAATGGTACAAATTGAAACAAATATACCGAATACAACCATAAGTTATTAACATCATATTTGGAACTAACAAAAGACACATTAATCAATCAGTTATTAGAACTTAGAACTAAACACAAGCATCTTTATTTCTACTGTGGCCAATGATGCTATCACGAGACTGCAGTGGATAAATTTTGCACATAAAAATACAGATAAAACCTCCAATTTTATGCCTGATAAGCTAAATGGGAGTAATGTATTCGGCTTCAGTGAACTTCAGGCAGAAGAAACAAACTAAATGCATACGCTCACCTTTCACAATTAAGCCATAAAAACCAACTAGCTAGAAGTGTAAATAAAGAGGTTTACGGTGTTTGATAATCAGTTAGAAGCTTGAATTGGCTAAGTACTATAAATGAAAATTTGAAATACAAATTTTATCTAAACCAGAATACATTTTTGATATCCTGATTAACATATAATAAAATAAAATAAAAAAAAAAGAAAAGGTTTACAATGCATTAAATATGTACATAATTTTGAAGTTTAAGGACTAAGAACTATTCCATATTTTTAGTAATTAAACAAAATTAACTTTTAGGATATTTTATAAGTGCAGTAAGTATATCTAGCATGCAAATTTGCCAAAGAATATGAAAAAAATATGTCAGGCCTACATCCCCTACCAAAATCAGGTCCCACAGCACATTTAAAAATACATTTAATTCCCGATTGAAGATACCTAACACAGACAAACAAAAATACCTAAACAAATAAAAGTACTAAATATGGCTTATTCCATCAAAGATAATTATACATAAAAACAAAAAACAAGGTTCAAAAAGCCTGTATGTAGAAGTAGGACATTCCTTAAAGATATCAAAGTAAGATTAGCATGATTGACAAAATCATAAACCTATGCAATTATCGTGTAGCTTCAATTATCTACGTGAAAAGTTCCACATTAAAAAATAATAATAATGATAATCCACTGATGCTAATAGAAAAATGCATTCCATGGATAGTGACATACATCGAAAAAACCTTAACATTAGTAATCAGTTTAATAGGAAGAAATTTAAAATAAAATATATATTTAACCTAATATAATAAAAAATAATCCGATAGTCTGCAATAAATTGAGATGACATCTTTCATTTGCACGATTCTGTCACTGTTTAAACGAAGAGAAAAGTAGTAAGCCATTAACCTTGTCCAGCAGCCTTGAAGTTGTCTGAGGTGGAGGACATGCAACATCGAACTTTGCACATGCATCTAAGAGGTACTTATTTGCTGCCTCACTGGAAAGATCTTTGGGTATATCCAGGTTTGCCAATCTTTCCAATTCTTCAATCATGTCGATCCTTCTATAAGAAAAAAATTTGAAATAAACTTAGTTAAAAAGAAATACTAATGATATCATTGTATTTCCTAATTGAAGTTGAACACAATAAGAGAAAAATGCATCTGAAAAATAGTACCTAAAAGGTGGTGTAAAATCAATCTCTATTGGTTCCTCATCCACTCCATTAGAATGAAATTTTATTTTATAACCACCGGTCAGTTCTTTCGCCATTCCTGTTCAAATACTAAAAAAGCTTTAAAAACATTGTTAAAACAAAACAACTCGTATCAGAATTTTATTAAGACCATAAATATTGCAACCATATTTTTCATCTTAATATTATTCGTTTTATATTAAAACTTAAACTTGATATCAATAAGGATATTCATCAACAAACATTAAATCAATCCCTTCACCACATCAAAACGAAAGAAGTGCAATAACCGTTATATATGTGTGGGTTATTTGTATAAAACTCCTTGAAATTTGGTTCTCCTGTGAAAAAGGTTAAAAAGACAATTGCTTCAAAACTTTGCAAACAAGGATCAATTCTAACTTCTTAGCAAACAAGCAGACTTTCTTTAAACCCTGACAATACTAATAAGGATTACTAAGAACTTCAAGAGTGCATTAACTCCCAGATTCTCAATGAAAGAGCTTCTAGACCGAGTTTGACTTGCTCGAGAAACAGAAGCAGCCAGTGAAGCAAAATGAAAGTAGGACAAAAAGGAATTTGCTAGTTTTGGGCAATTAAATATAGAGAATGTAGGGACACCAAGGCATAAATGAACCACACCAATCCATCTTGGAACTTGAAACGCTACTACGAAGACAATGCTGCAGAGGGGTCCTGAAAAAAAAATTAAACACTAATTAAATCTCAAAATGATCCCCCAACTATCCGAATGTTGTCAATTTAGTCCTAGAGTTTTGCAGTGCTCAAATTTAGTCCCTCAACTATTAAAAATTGACCTCAATTACTCACATAAAGACTAAACTGATATCAAACTGGCATTGTCGACGAATTAAGTTATGATCATTTTTGTGCGATTATTTCTACATTTTGGATCAATTTTCAATAGTTGGGGGACTAAATTGAATCACTGCAAAACTTTGAGACTAAATTGATCACATCCAAATAGTCAATGACCATTTTGGGATCTAATTCCATCTTAGTAATACTATCATAGTTTCAAGAGCACCCTAGTAGTATTGAAGGGCTAAAAAAAATTGTAGCATAAGGCCAAAGTTGTCCTTATTTGCAAAATAGCATATGATCACCAATTGACCTTTCTACCCAGAAGATTAAACTCTAAAAATTCTTTTATAAATATCGGTGTACACACACACATATACACAGCAACAACAACAACAACAAAGCCTTAATTCCACTACGGGGGTTCAGCTATATGAATCCTTTTTCTTCATTGTGTCCTATTTAGTGTCATATTTTCATTTAGTTCTAATAAATTAAGATCATTTTTTTTATACAAGAAGCCCAAGTTTGCCTAGGTCTACCTTTGTCTTTCTTAACATAAGTTGAATCTAACAGCTATCCCTACGTCGCTATTACTTATTATTTAATTTTATTCCCTAATTATGTATTTCCCCTTTTATTTTATTATGTTTTTATTTCTTTCCTAGTTATTTTATTTTGTTTTAATTATTTTCCATTATTATGTCTATTGTAATTGGGTTTAAATATCCCTCTTCCTATCAATGAAATTGAGTTGGTCTATTACCAATCTCAACATGGTATCAGAGCCTAAACCTAGATCCACCAGCCCTAGACCTCCTCTACCGGTTTTAGAGGCCACTGCTTCCACCTGATTTCCTTCCCTGCAGTTTTTCCTGTCGTTGTTTTCCCTGTGAGAGCAGTATTTTTTACCTGTCTCTTGTGAGAAACTATAGCGTCCCTGTTCTTATGAGATTCCAATCAACCGTGAGAAATTGGTACCTTGCCATTTTCATTAATTTTTCAACTGTGAGAATCCTGACATTACATTACAGGGAATCCTATTCCAGTAATTTTGTTCTTGTCAACCATGAGAAAACTTTTGTGATCCAGGGAGCTTTCCCAGCCGGTTGTCTTCCACCTGCAGCAGAATTCCTGTAGCAGTCCAGAAAGTCCCCGACCGCATGATTTTTCCTCAATCGCTCTTCCTGCAGGCTCCTGTTCGCCAAAATTTCCAACAGGTTCTTGTCCACCAGATGCCTCCACTATTCTACAGAAAGAATTCTTGTAGTCATGATTCTACCAAAATTCATTAATGACTCAAAATCACAACAACATATCCTTTGGCTCAGACGACATTTTGGTTGATTCTTTCAATGAATCACCATCTGAAGGCGTTATTGACTCTATCAGATGATCGATTCCAACCTCCACTCCCTTGCAGACCAGAGGATCGAAAGTCAATATAAATTTCTTGATCACAACTCATAAATTGAACGACAGTAACTTCCTCCAAAGGCCCCAAGCAGTATCTTTGTTCATGAAAGGACGTGGAAAATTCGGTCATTTCACAGATATGATTCGTGATCCTCCAAAGACTGACCCGACATATGGAGCATGGGAAGTAGAGAACTTCATGTTCATGTCTTGACCGATCAACTCCATTGAGACTTCAATTGGTCATTCGTACATGTTTCTCTTTAGCTAGTGATATCTACTCAGATATAGAAAATTACGACCAACTCTATGAGGTATTTAAGAAGATCTGAGAGGCAACACAGGGTCAAAGGCCGTGACCCATAACTATAATGAGCTGGTTGCATTATGGATGAAATGCGACTTCTACTATGACTACACTTGGGATTCTCCGCCGACTAATCCCTCTTCCATAACATCGTAGAAAAGAATTGTATGCTCAAATTCTTTGCTGGTTTTAGCAAAGAACTTGATGAAATGTGGAGTCGTATTCTTGGTCGGGACCTCTTCTTTCCACTCAAGCTACTTTTATCGAGATTCGTCAAGAAGAAAGCAGAAAAATTGTCATGCTTGACACTTCTACTCCTTCAGCTGAGTCGTCCGCCTTGATCTCAAATAGTGCTTAGCCCTCATCCATGCCTGGTAAAAGGTCATCTCGGAACGGTCATCCACTTGTGATTACTATCACAAACCCAATTACACTCGGAACAAGTGTTGGAAACTGCATAATAAGACAACATAAAAACCTTCGACAATATCCTCTGTTGTCAAAAGATGCACGACGACAACCAAATAAAACACGACTCAACCAATTCCTACCTGGAACAACTCAGATTCTTCTGAATCCCTAAAGAACCAGATAAAGCAATTGATCAAGTTTCTTGGAGCCAATCAAGTCTATGTGGGTCCATCGACCTCCCATGTCCAACAAGGTACTCTTCCTATGGCTCTCACAGTTTATTCATCCTCTAGTCCATGAATTATTGATTCAAGTGTCACGGATCATATGATTGGCAGCTCGTAAGCTTTTTTTACTTACTACTCGTGCTTTGCAAAAAATACTGTCATAATTGTTGATGGATCATGTAGTTTCATTGCTAATAAAGGGTTGATTGTTTTAACGACTAATCTAACTCTGTAGTCTGATTTACATATTTCATGAATGCAATGTAACTTATTATTAGTTAGCAAGTTGACAAGTGAGATTGATTGTATTGTTAATTTCTCTTATGATAGATGTGTTTTTCAGGATTGTTCGAAGATGATGATTAGGACTGCTAAGAGGGTTGTTGGAGTCTACTACTTCCATGAAGACAACACAGAGAGTGAAGACGCGACACTCAAAAGTTGTAGTGTATCTCGAGTCATTGATTGTCTCATTATGTTATTACATTGTTGTTTAGGTCATCCTAATTTTCAACATTTTAAAAATTTGTATCCCCTGACATTTTCTAATAAAAATCTTTTTAATTTCAATTGTAATATATGTTAGTCAAACATCACCAAGTTCATTGCTTACTTCACACTTACACACATTTCGCTCATTTCTCCCTCATTCACAGTGACATGTGGAGACCATCTCACATTCCCAGCTACACAATAAATTATGGTTTTTGACCTTAATTAATGACCACACTCGAATGATGTGAGTCAACATTTTAAAAGAAATCGGAAGTCGTGACCTTCTAAAACTTTTACACATTTCTCTTAACTCAATTCAAAATTTCTATTCAAGTCCTTAGAACCGACAATGATCGTGACTTTTTAATTCTATTTTGAGTGAGTTCCTAGTAAGTAAAGACATCCTCCACCATAGTTTTTGCCTGAACACTAGTCAACAAAATGAGGTAGCTGAGAGAAAAAACTGTCATGTCCTCAACGTTGCTCACTCTATTATGTTTCAATCTAATGTCTCAAAATGTTTTTTGAACGATGTCTTCTAATCGCCACCTATTTCATAAATTGATTTCCCTCCAAAATTCACAAGTTTTGAAATCCCTTTATTGTTCAAATGTCATGCTTCCCTGCCAATCAGGTCTTATCTACTTTAGATCACAACATATTTGGATGCATTGCCTTTGTTCGAAATATTGCCCCTACTTCGAGTAAACTTGATCCCAGATCCATAAAATATAACTTCCTTGGTTACTCTACAACTCAAAAGAGGTATTCATGTCTTGATCCGACTATAAACAAAATCTCTGTGAGCGTTGATGTCTCATTCTTTGAAAATGTTCCCCATTTCTCTAGTTCGGCCTCTAGTAGGGGGAGCTTGATGCCCAAACAATGCCCCTTATCCTACTCCTATGGATGGTCCCCCCATTGTTCCCATCAGTGGAAAGTCCCATATCCCGTTGAATGCATCTCCTCCCAATGTCTGTGTCTACACTCGGCGCACTCATCCCGATGCTCCAACTGAGGAGCCTGCTGCCTCCTTACAGAACATCGACTCCACTCTGGGCGACATCCTCAGCACAACCCCTCCTCCGAATGAGGAGGTGAGTTCACCGATTAAGGTACGCAATCCCTCTATTCTATCAAAAAATGTGTCTTTCCACAGTTTATCGTCGACCAACATAGCATTTGTTAAGGCCCTAACGGACCATCAGATCCCTACTTCTATTAAGGTTGCTCTTACTGATCTAGCCAGGAAAACGACAGTAATGGAGGAGATGAATGTCCTTCAGTGAAACCAAAAATGAGACGTTGTGGACCTTCTTCAGAGTAAGAAAGTTGTAGAGTGCTGATAGATTTTTAGCACCAAGTTCAACTTTGACGAGTATTTTGAACGCAACAAAACAAGATTGGTCACTAAATGATACTCACAAACCTATGAAGTTGACTATGAGGATACATTTGCTACAGTTGCTAAGTTAAGCACCATTTGGGCTTTGTTGTCATTGCAATGAATATGGATTGGCCTTTATGTCAACTAGATGTCAAGAATGCATTCTTGAATGGTGAGGTGACAGAAGAGGTGTACATGTCTCTCTCTTTGGGTTGTGATCCTACTGGCTCCAGAGGAAAAATATACAGGCTATGAAAGTCCATTTATGGGCTAAGGCAGTCCCCACGGGTCTGGTTCGGCAAGTTCACAAAGATGGTCGTGGGTCATGGTTTTACTCCAACACCCTCTTCTTCTAACACTCTTGCAATGGCCAGGTAACTATTATTATTGTTCATGTTCATGATATTGTTCTTACAGGTAACGATCTTCAAGCATTAGAGTCTGCATTGAAGTCTTAGAGTCCTTAAAAGGCATTCTTGCTTCGTCCTTCGAGATGAAGGATTTGAGATCTCTCTGGTACTTCTTAGGCATGAAAATGGCTCGGTCCTCTCGAGCTATTTGCTTATCTCAACGCAACTATGTGATTGACCTCCTGATAGAGAAAAACTTTTTTTTGTGCAAATTGTTGTTCTTATGTATCCTAATGAAAAATTACTGACATTTTCAATGTTGTGTTTGCCAACAAAACTCATTATGAGCATCTTGTGGAAAAACCCATCTATCTGGCTCATACTTGCTCCGACATATGCCACGCAATTGGAATAGTGAGCCAATTCATGCATGACTCCTACGAGCACCACCTCCAAGCTATCCACTGGATTCTCCACTACTTAAAGGTACACCATACTATGGTTTGTTATTTTCCCGCCACAACTCTAGGTTATTGTTGTTTATACAGATGTTGATTGGGTCGGATCGATTCATGATTAACATTCAACCTTGGGATATTACTCGTTTCTATGGGGCAATCTTGTCACGTGAAAAAGCAAAAAACTTTCTATGGTTGCCCAAAACAATGTTGAAGCTAAATTCTGATCCTTGTCCTTGGGAATCTGTGAAGTTCTCTGGCTACGCATCATACTTCAGAAACTTTGTATGTCAAGCTTTGTCCCGTTGCAGCTATTATATGATAATAAGACTGAAATAAACATTGCTCGCAATCCAGTCCCCCATGATTGTACCAAATAGGTGGAGATGCACTTCATTAAGAAATCCGAGGAGATTTGTGTTCCATATGTGCACTCCAGTGATCAACTAGTGGACATCCTCACCAAAAATTTCTCTCGCTCTTAGTTCAATGGCTTCAAGTCCAAGTTAAACATGACTGACATCTATGCTTCACCTTAAGAGAGAGTATTAGATTATAACGGCTATATCTACGCCATTGTTACTTATTATTTAATTTTATTCCCTGATTATGTAGTCCCATTTTGCTTTATTCTATTTTTATTAATTTTCATTATAATGTCTATTATAATTGGATTTAAATACCCCTCTTCCTATCAATGAAATCACACACACACACACACACATATATATATATATATATATCAAAAGAAAATTGATATTTAGCAGAAGCCCAAATATCGATTTCTCATGCGCTTTTTGGCCCCATGATGAGAGCCCGCGCCACGGTGGGATCGAACCCTTGACCTGTGTTATGTGTGTGCGCGTGTGCATTGTGTGTATGTGTTAGCACCTTCAACTCTATCCATTCTCACCCCATTATTAATCCCCTACATGAATCATTTTTTTCCATCGTATCCTTTTGAGTGTCATTAGAATTAAGAGAATATGACACTCAATAGAACACAATCAAGAAAAAGGATTTATGCAGCTGACCCACTTAGTGCGACACATCAAATAATTCATACATTACATGATATATATTTTATCAAGTCATTGAAATTAATCAAGTTTAAAAAATTATAGTTTCTATATAAAAAGCCATAAGTAGATCTCAAAATATTTAATATATATCATCATCATTTAAAATTCTTGTTTCATATCTAGTGCTTGAGATAAGTAGAGAATATTTTTCTCTATAAACCCACTTTGTTTGCATTAAGTTATTAATAACTGCTAAAATGTCTCAATTAAAAAAAATGGTACATTCATTTCCTTTAGTGATTCATCTGATCCTCCATTTGAAGTTTGGAGTTTTTACATATATTAAATTCTCATTCACAAACAAAAAAAATGGCAGGAGAATATTCTTCCAAGAGGATAGTAATATTCCTATCCGTACAAGTTATCGATTGATAACTATTGCATATTAGGCCGGAACATTTTGGGAAAAAAAGATAGAGGATTTTATAATCAACTTCTATAAGACTTTTTTCTTTCTCTTGCAGCTTATGATTACGGTTCTTCAAATGCAGACTTCAAGTAAACAAGAACTTTTTTTGTCACTTTGTGAAATGTGCTTCCATCAAATTTATAATTAACTTTAAATTTTTACGCTTTCGTTTTCCGGCCAAGTGATGTTTACCAAAAATCTACAACAATTTATTCTTATTTTATTGACCTAAATGTTCTTTGCTTCCTTTGGTCAAGATATGTAAACAACTGGAAGTAGTAAGCTTTCAACTATGAAAGATTCAGCTCACGGGTGATTTTCATTTTACCTATGATGCAACAGATGCAATTAAATTTATTATTAATATATATATTCTGTATGTGATTTACCGAATAGAATTTATTGTATAAAAGTTTTAGTACACATAATTTCTAAATAAGTCAAGGCATGAAAGTGCATTTCGCTCACCAGATAACATTTGTTCAGTCAGGACCATCAAATCATTGTAATCTGCATAAGCCATATAAAATTCACAAGTCGTGAATTCTGGATTATGAGTCAAATCAATTCCCTCATTCCTGAATTGTTTTCCAATCTCATAGACACGATCAAGCCCGCCAACAATAAGCTGCTTGAGGTACAATTCAGGGGCAATTCGCATGTACAATTTCATGTTTAACTCATTGTGATGGGTAACAAAGGGCTTGGCAGCTGCTCCACCGGCAATCATGTTCATCATGGGGGTCTCTACCTGCATTATGAAATACTATATCTTAGAAGACGAGCAAAGAAAGCCAAGAAGAATAATTATGAAAGAATTGACAGATAAAACCTCCAAAAAGTCCAAGTTTTCGAGGAATCTCCGGATGTATGAAATGATCCGGGCTCTCGTCTTAAATATTTCTCTAACTTCATGATTCAACATTAAATCTAGATAGCGTTGACGATAGCGAGTTTCCTACCACCAAATTAAGAATATACAACTTTAAAAGAAAAATTAAGAATACATAAGGAAAAAAAAAACATTATTTCAAAAAATATATCAGGATGCTTCCTAGTGACATCAGAATGAGAACAAATAAATTTGGAAGTTCTTCAGAAAATCTGTACTATTATTTAAAAAGTGTCCTGCAGTTAATGTTAGCCTTTCAAATTTAAAAAATAATCTCGAGTATTCATTGGCTTCCACCAATATTAAATAATTATCATTGAATTCTAATAGTTAGAATTCAAAGCATAAATTATTTTAATAAATGTATGATAAGTAAATCATGGATTTAAGCTCTTAAATAAATTTGTCACATCTCTTTATTTAGAGTTGCATTGTTTCTAAACCCCTCTGTAGAGCTTACATCCATGCATGAAGTCATTTTGGAATGATAAACCAAACAATTTAAGGCAGAAAGACCTCCAAAATAACTTTTTTCATAGTTGAATATTATGGCCATTATATTTATCCTAGTCTTTTGTCATTCTATTTTAATCTATAACATTTTACATCCTCTCCTTAATTTTTGAATGATTGTATATACTTTTAAATAATTAATATGAAATTGTTTACGACACTGGATAAGACACAACGAAGAAAACGAATTCATTTAGCCGACCCCACTTAGTGGGATAAAGGCTTGTTGTTATAATTAATATGAAATTGCTTATAAGATAAATGATAAAGTGCATTTCTTTAAACTTATGAAAATAAATTATACTAGTTATTTATTCTAAACAATTATACCATATAGGTATAATTTAAGTGAAAAATAAATGTTTCATTTATTTCATTTAAATTTTATTTATTGATTTATCCTTTAAAAAGTCATAAATATTATAGTTGTTCATTGTTTTAACAACAACATTTTTATCAAAGTTTTCAGTAACTAAAAATCAGACATTGATATTTAATTGTGTCAATTAATTAATCAGCTCATTGTATTAACAAGCATTCTGATTATTTATGCATTTAATTCTCATATATTTTTAACAGCTAATAGAAGATTATCAGCGTCTATAAATGTTACAAAGGGACAAAAAAATTTTATTTACCCTCTAATTTATATCAGTTTCTTACCTTATATAATAGCACTACTTGAATTTTTCCTCCATGATAATTTAATTTGTGGTGAACACTGAATATATTTTCATCAGATATTATTTAAAAATCCTTTAAAAATAATATTAAAATGATTCATAAGACCTATAAAACCTATTAAAAATCAATTATAAATCTTGGTTTATAATTAAATAAATAGAAGCTGCAAAAAAGTTGAAAAGAAATACGAGTTAATAAAATCAATAAAGACCAACAATGCAATGACGATAAAATCTCCAAATAAGATACAAATTAACCACAATCGATACATACAAGAAATAGTTCATAGGGAAAAGATGTGTGTATGTGTGTGTGTGTAGATAGATAGAGAGAGAGAGAGAGAGAGAGAGAGAGAGAGAGAGGGTGGGTGTGAGAGGGGAGTGGAATGGAATGTGGTGAGTTTCAACAGCAAATTATTTCATAAAACCGGCCAAAATTATCAAAGGTTATGATCTAGAAGCCTATTAAGAAGTTGAAGGGAATGAATTGCCAAAAAAGAAAGATCTGACCGGGCCTAAATACAAAGAGCAACAAAAAGTAACTTCATTTATTTGGCAAAAGGGGTTAAAAAATAAGGCCATCAGAGAAGTTTATCACAGGTTCAACATTTACTACATGATGCCCATGAAATAAATCCAGGGATACAGTCAGGTTATTGCCAACAAATACAAACAAGACATGAAGATGCAATCTCATGTTCTGCAAGCATATACATAAAAAACAATGTACCTGGTCCTTCAGAACATATGTTTCACAATTCCTGGGCAAACCTGGAACCCATTTAGATCCCACTATTCCTTCATGTTTCTACAACAAAAAAGAATTAAAGGAAATCGTTTGTAAGAAAATCAAACAAGGTGAAACAAGCATTTTTTTGGCATCCCATGAAGAATAGTTACAATATAAAGCAGATCTACCTTTATGGAAGGATTATCAGCCCCAGGAGCAGCTTTTTGCCTTGGCATCATGTGAAGACAATGAGAAAGAACAGCAATTGTTTTTGGAAATACACTAAGCTCCCCTCTTTTACTCTTCCCTGTAGAAGAAAACAGTATGTTGACATAATATCAACGTCTATTACTATTAAGCATATAGTTTACTATTTCAAACAATAATAAAGCTTTGAAAAGCTAGCTTTTAGCAGGGTTATGCATCCAGGCCATACTGTAAAACCTAACAAAATATACATTTGGATAAGTTTTCCCTACTTTTATCTCTTATAAAAAAAAACACACAAAATATCCATTCTAATATGAAGCCAAAATCATTTAAATAAAACACAACTTGTGTGAGCCATAATTCTTAAAAAAAAAATAACAGAATAGTGAATTGTTTTATGACATGATTGGCATTTCATCATAAATGAAACATCAAAAAATGGCACGCAAACAAAAAGATAAAGTGAGAGAGGAGATAAAACCCTTCTAATGCTAACTGATCATTAGAATCAAGAAAAAAAAAACATCTCGCATCCTGACACGGGAGCTCACCCCAAAAAGATTATTGAGGTACTATAGCTACAACAGTACCGCAGATTATTGCTATTTTCTAAAAATTTATATGATAGGAAACTCCTTTTGGAACCAGATATGTTAAATTATGGTGGTTGTAAGAAAGATTTTCTTACTTTCTTGGAGAAAAATATTTATGATTCCCACTACACTTTTCCAATAAGTTGTTTTCCCAATCACAACTTTAAAACTACCTTTACTAAAGAAAAACAACAGCGACCCTAAACAGACCCTAATTATCTCTTCAAAACATCAAGATTACGCGGGCATTTTCAATTTTGTAATAACAATAGATTCATTATCATATTGTTCGAGATGGCTCAACGACAATTAAATGGAATTCAGGTAACTATCAAAACAACTAAAGAAATTTGGTAGAAGCTCTACTATAAATCATCCTCCGCACTTACCATTGGCATTCAATAAAAAACAAATGCTTCTGTGAAATTTAAAAAAAGAAAGAAGTTAATGCTTGTCAACGTCATTTTCATTTCAATAGAAAATAGTGGATTATTTAAGGACAATCACAAATTTCAAAAGGAATTAAAAAAAATTAAAAAGTAACAATAATTTTGGTAGCAGCACAATATACTTCATATCAGCACAATTTATTTTTTATTTTTCATATTTATAGACAATATTTCATTTGTAAGTGAGACACGGTACAGTGATTCAATCTAAGAGCAAACAAATAAAAATAACATGGTATAATATACTATAAAACCCTAAAAAATTAGCATCTTCAACAGAATTATCTATCATCGCCATCATTAGCCTTATCATGATGACTTAAGCCGGCTTTATAAATCCACATTTTCCATATGATCATATAGTGTATTTCTGAGATATTAAACATATTCCCAAAAATTAAACTTTGAAAAACTAAATTCATGCTGCCAAAGGTCTGTATGATGTAAGACGTCTTATAGTATAGTTTATGGTGGGGATCTATAATGAGATGTAGAAAACCATGTCACACGCACAAGAGTAATTAACTCTTAATATTTTAGCAATTATTTGCTTTATTGCTAAAATAAGAAAGAAAAAGAAATCAATTTGTATGAAAATCCAACAGCTTTCTACTATAAATTACAGATAGAAATTTATTACCAAGAAAACCATGCAAGGTGTTGACAATCAACCATTCATTGAAAACCATGCAAGGTGTTGACAATCAACCATTCATTGAAAACCATATTTCATCCGAATACAATAAAATCAAACAATAACAAAAGTTAAAGCAAAAATTAAAAATCAGAAAAGAAAAAGTAATATATTAAAATTGGGAAAAAAAATGCTCAGAAGCAAAAAAATAACATCTCCAAAAAATCCTGAAAACTCGCTTAGTCAAATAATTAGCAAAGAGGAGTAGAAAGTCAATGACATCAGCAATTAGATTTACTCAACTTGATAGTATTTTGTAAATGTCGAAGGCCCTCCTTCAAAAAATAAAAAACAAAAATTCACCATCCCCTAATTGTGACGGAAACCAAAAAACATCAAATGAGTAGACTGTCAAAGTCATTAATTTTCTGAAATACAACTAGAAATCCTAGCATCAAAGCAAAATAACAGTATTGATATCATAGAAGCCGGAAATTTATGCAACAAAAAACACCATGTAATACACAACATGAAATGAAGGACTTCTTAGGACAGTTTTCTCGCTACTTTGCTTTTCAACCCATTTCATATATATGTTGGTTATTACTTTTTTGTTCTGGTTCAAAAATTTATGAAGTAGGTATCTACTTTTGAGAACTATATCTGTTAAAGTATGATAGCTCTAACAAAATTACAATGTGACTTCTTCAAAATAAAAAACTTCTGATACCCGCAAAGGAGATCTAGAAAACTTGAAAGTCACAACAACAACATAACAAAAGTTCAATAGAAACTAACTAAGGAAGATTGTCACAATTGAGTAATGCTAACTGCAGATAAAACAAATCCAACCATGGATTTCACATGGAAATCACAAAAATCAAATGGAAAAGTAACAAAAATTGCATGGAAGGGTCTTAAAAGAGGCATGAATTTTAGTTTCAAAAATTAATTGCTGGAAATTCCCAAAAATTCCCTTTCCTTCCTAATCAACTAAAGTCAATTTTATCTAATCTTTTAGTGTGAGCATTTCTACCCTCAATACCAAAAATTTATTTCAATTGCAAAATCTTCTATAAATGTCAATCCAACCATTCATATAATTTTCCTTCATAATTTTATCACACATCCATTATATTTTTTTTAATTCACAAAGCTAAGCTTTGTTATCCATGACTTTTTTACCACCAAATGCTTAGAGCCATACAGCAACACAAATCAATATGATAACATTTGATTAAATAATACTCTTGAGGCAATTCATCATTTTTACCACTTAAACTTTACTTTTTGAGTTATATCCTCACCGACACCCTTATTCTTCTATAATGACAACCTCCTAAATACTTAAATTTATAAAATCAATGTATTACCTTGTCTTCTAATTAAAATGATTAATAATTATTATAATCACCCTCACAAAATTGAATAGCATATACTTGATCTTCCTTCTTCTATTTTGAAGTAATCTCACTTATTCCAACACACATCTTACTAAATTCTTATATTAAAAAAAAAAAACAAAGCATCCCACTTTGAATATTCTTTTTAAGCATCTTTAGCTAATACAATATATAAATATAAACTAAATGTTGATCCTTGTATAATCATGCTATAATTGAAATCTCACTAAACATTCTCTACAACTACTAATACTAGTGTGCTCAATTACACACACACAGACATATATGTTTCATTATCCTCTCACATGGCTTCACTATAAGACACATAAGTTTGATTCCTCTATAGTCAAGAATAAACTTGGACATCTTATCTTTTTTTCTTAAACTCCAATCAAGAGAATTAATAAAAATCATTCACTTAAATTTCTAAAAAAAATTACTTCAAACTGAGAAGCAATAGATAAAGCTTTCAATTTAGAGACATGGTAGCAACAACAAAGCCATAAGTCTGTAACAATGCATGTTTACAAAAAGTAATAATGAGGTTTCCATAATTAGACATAGTAACAGATATGTAAGCAAACACTGTTTCATCGGGTTATCAATTTGTCATAAATCATTGAAACATAAAGGATAACATAAATCAGTTTCATCAAAGAGACTCTGAAGGTTTTATAAATTTGATCTACTAAAATAATCAATGGATAAGAACAGAAGAAATACATCTAGCAACGTCCATAAGTAACAAAATTCTACCAAAAATACAGCAGATATAAAACAAAATGCTTTATATAACTATCAATAATATGGAATCAGAAGATTCATCCCATGATTTATGCATTAAGGAAAACAACCTGGGTAGCCACAAATCCCAACAATATCACCACGTTTCACACCAGCATGTAGTCTAGAAAATTCAACTTCACCCAAGTCTGAGTCCCTGGACAAATTTGAAATTAAAAGAGTTATGATCCACAAAAAACAGGATACTTGTTAGATGGACTTGCCTCAAGGTCAAAGCAATAATTAGTACATGTACCATAATGGTTAAAGCCTTGTAAAAGTGGTAAATATCATAAGAAGTTGTTAAAAGGTAATCGTGCCAGAACAAAAGAAGTTTAAATCGTAAATATTGTTTAAGGGAAATCTTAAGCATGCTATCCATTTTAGTATAGCCTTTCAACATGAACACAAGTTTGGACATAGAGCAAACAAATAAATTCATCAAACAACATCATTAGCTTCTTTCAACAAGCAATTAATCTTAAACATCCTGTCTCCACTAAATAGCGCAAGTTGCACTCAAAAATAAACTTAACCAATAATGGGAGAAATTTTTACTCGCTTTTAAGTCATCAAATTAATAAACAAAGATTGTATGAGAAGTTTAAATGCAAAACAAAAGAGAAACAAGAGACGGAATCTTAAGAATTTGAGAAGATACGGTGTCTGGAATACAAAATAAATGCAAAGTCGATTTGTTAGTCAATAAAGATTTGAGAACAAGGTTGCAACCAGCGTTTAGAAAACATTAATAAGACTGTCCAATATAGCAGTTCAGTAGATTAAATCTAAAGAATTTACATGTTATGGGATGTAACAAAGCTATATCTAGAATAAATGCTTCCCTGCCACTAAATACTAACAAAAAGTTCCAAATATATTAGATGAGTAAAAAGCATTAGTATTTTCATTCTTTAAAATTTCCCACTAGTGCAGTTAAATATCTACTGACAAATTGATGATCTAAATGCATATAATTTTCTTTATAACCTTGCATTGCTCAAAGATTATTTATTTTTTGCATGTCTTATGCATCAAGACAGTGGCGGTATGCCTCTATTTCATAGACCCTTATTCTTTGCGTAAACCTAGTATTGAAGACTATTCAAAAGTAAAAAATCACAATGTATTTTGGCTTCCTAATTTTCTTCTAAGCTTCGCATAATCAGCAGAAATCATTTTTAAATGCAAAATCAATAGCTGAAGAGTTCATTGTGCATCTTTCTTTTCCCTTGCCTTCTCTCTCGTAAATCTCAATGCTTACCACATTTAAGGTGCCAATCCTACACCAATTTGGTATACAGTGCAAAAATTAAAGCATTGTTCTCTTCGATGCTTGTTTTCTTTATTATTTTGCTTATTTCCATAGCTTCCGCTGCAGTTTTTCCACTACTTCAGTTGCTCTGACCACAATTTTCCTAATTTATGTTCACAATTCTATTGTTTGACCAAATTTTATTCAACAGTTCAATGCCGTATTCTTAACCATTTTCCTGCACCACAATTGTTTCTAAAACAGCCCAGCCACCTTCCCTTAACAACCCACCACTAACCACCATTTCAAACCACAAAAAGCATTCAGCAGTTCCTTAATTGTCCACAGTGAACAATAATCAATCCTGTTCACATGAATGGTAACTACCCTTAAGACCTTAATCCATTAAAATTTTCAAAAAACAAAATGTCGATTCCCTACTTATTCAACCGTCTCCACACAATTCTCAATCATATATTAAATATTTTCAAATCTAATTTAAGTCATAAGTTCAATTTTCATAATGAAAATTTTGCTAAACTTATTCCTAGGAACATTGCACTGCTGGAATTCAACAGCAATTCACAATACACTGATGTTGTCTTCCTATTTTTGTCGCTAGTAGTTCTAGTGGTTGCATTGAGGACAAATACCATAAACATTATTACAAAGTAAGGATATATATCATCTTTCCTCTAAAGCTATAGAATTTCTATGAAAAACCATATTGCTGCTCCTTTGGTCTTCGAATTTCATCACACTTACTCCTTGGTGGAGAGTCCTTCACATATCGAAGGAGCTGATGCAATGTGTCATCTATCGTCTGATTAATGATAATTAGGTATTTACAATAATTAAGAATTTGCTGTGTTTTACATCATTACTTTGCACTAAGCCGTTAGCGGTAATCAAGACTTTCAAATATCAGACAATTTCTACAAAGTCCATTAAATAGAGAATGGTTATACATATTTAAATAAAAAAATTTTTAACCCAACACTATTGAAGCACGGTGAATAAGAAATCATAAAAAGAAGCCATACCTAGCATCAGCCATTACTTGCACTTTGGCACCGACGCCATATAAGTCGTAGAAGTAAAGCTTAGATGAAGAAGTCCTCTTATTCATAATTCTCCCTTGAAAGCATAATTTTTCCGTTCAGTGCCATATCTTCGCCTGGAAAAGTTTGAAGAAACAGAAAAAAAAAAAAAAATATGTTCTATATATCAAACTAAACTAAAACCTGCCAAGTTAACTTCTACATCTTTGAGATGCTCCCCTTGGTTGAGACTACTATACTTCTGAATGTATTCTTCAATAGAGATCGAAACTTGAAACTTATGGGGATATGGGTTTACCCCAGTGGCCTTCTGGGATGCGAGGTACTTGTCCCTATTCTCATAATATTGCTGCAAAAGACAGAGGATATTCTATAAGCATTTTTAGATCCATGGAAACATATGGTTTATAGAGAGGGGGAGAGGGAGGGGGAGAACCGTTGGATCCATATCATCATCTTCTACTGCAGAATCCTTATGAGATTGGGACTTTGGCGTGTCGGCAGCCTGAGGGAATCAAGCGTTAAACGGCAAGCTAAACCTAAAGAGGATTTAAGAAAAAAAATGGAAGTCTCAAAAAAAGTCTCACTTTCTTCTTCTTTTCTTCTTCCTTGAGGCGCTTCTCATCTTCCTTCTGTTTCTTCTTCAACTCCCTCTTCAGAGCACTGTTAACAATGGAATAGCAGATAGTAAAAAGCAGAGTTTAAAATAATTGACCGCAATTAAAATATGAATGCATAAAGAATGATACTTTTTGCTCGGCGCATCCGCCGCGATGGGATTGACGGACAGCTCGGAGACCTTCTCGGCTGCCCCATCAATGACGTCGTTCATTTGAAGCAGATAATGAATAGGAAAGCAGGACAACAGTGGCTTCTCGCCGCAATCTTGGTGTCCACGCTCTAGCACCGATCGTGGCTTGTTCTAAGCAGGATTTATGCTAAATCCTGACAAACGACAAAAAAAGGCATTCGTAAATCCTGCAGGTTAATTAATTCCGTTTTTCCTCTGTTTTGCCTTGAATCCAGGATTTAGTAAATCCCGTTGGAAGACGGATTTACGTGATTTAGAGAAGCTTAACCGCGCAGGGGAAGTGAGAGAGAGGAAGGGGGAGAAAGACAAAGTTTACCTGTCTAACTTCCTCGATGGTTGGAGACCGGAAGGAGGAGAAAGATGGGAGTTTTGGAGGTCTTGGACGTGGATATCCCGTCGCTGCCTTTCCAGTCACGAAGACAAAGGTTTTACGCGGAACGGCGGGTGGGGGGACAAGGGTTTCTGGAAGGAGAGAGAAAGGAATAACTAATAATTAATTAATATATAAGTAAAGCAATTTATATATTAATTAATAGAACACACTGCAACAAGAACAACAACGATAAATCCTTAATCCTACTAAATGGGGTCAATTACATGAATCTTTTTTTTCTCAATTGCATCATATTTAGTGTCATATTTTCATTTATTTCTAATAAATTAAAAATTTTTTTATACAATAAGCCCGAGTCTTCTTAGGTATACCTCTGACTTTCTTAACATAAGTCGAATCTAAAACATTCATTCTCCTAATATAATCATCAGATGGTTGACGTTTAATGTGACAAAACCATCAAAGATGACTCTTTCTAATTTTGTCTGTCACTGGAGCTGCACTTACCCTATCACATTTCACATTTTCTCTCTAAGTGTAAAGCCACTCATCCACCCAATCATTCCCATCCCGACAACACTTAACTCAGTATTATGTTTTTCTTTTAAATGCCAACATTTAGTGTCATTGAGCATTGCAGTCCTCAACACCATCTTATAAAATTTTCCTTCCAGTCTAAGAGGTACTTTTCTATCACACGCAAGGCTCGAAGCATTCCTCCACTTCAACCAACCAACTTGAATTCTACTATTAACAACATACCCGAGATATCTAAATTGTTTACACCTTTAAATAATTTGATAACCCAAAGTTACACTCCTATCACTAATGCTACTACTACTAAAATTACATTCTATGTACTCAGTTTTAGTTCTACTCAAATGAAGGTCTTTAGACTCCAATGTTGACCTCCATAATTCAAGTATTTCATGAGCTTATTCTCTCGTCTTATCCACTAGAAAGATATCATCAGCAAAAAGCATAGACCAAGGTGCATCCTCTGTAAACGTCCAGTATGACCATCCATAACTAAAGCAAACAGATATAGGCTTAAAGCCAATCTCTCATGTAATCCAACAAAGATTGGAAAATATTTTGTCAATTCTCATTAAGTTTGAACACAAGTAACAACTCTAGTGTAAATATCTTTAATGACTTGAATATAAGTCATATCAACACCTTTCTTCTCGAGAACGCTCCAAAGGACATCTCTTAGAATATTGTCGTAAGTTTTTTCTAAATCAATAGTTTTTTCTAAATCCAATAAAAATTAAATATAGATCCTCCTTATTATCTCTGAACTTCTCCATCAAACCTCTCAATAAATGTATAGCTTCCATGGTAGACCTGCCCGACATTAATACAAATTGATTATGAGAAATCTTTGTAATACGTCTTAACCTATATTCAATTACCCTCTCCCATAATTTTAAAGTATGACACATCAACTTAATTTTTCCATAATTTGTGCACTATTGTGCATTCTTTAATTCCTAAAAATGGGGAGTAAAATGCTTTTCCTCCACTCCTCAGGCATCTTCTTAGTTTTTAAAATAATATTAAAGAGTTTAGTAAGCCAAGAAACTCCCAAATCTCCTAAATATTTTCACACTTCAATTGGGATATCATCAGGTACTACAGAATTTTCTCCCTTTGTTTGCTTTAAAGGCCTCATCAACTTCTTTTTTACTAATGTGACAGTAAAAATGAAACATTTTATTATTATTAATGATATTATGATCATTAAGGTCAATCGTATTTTCAAAACTTCATTAAAAAGTTTATCAAAATAACTCACTCACCTATGTTGAATATCTATTTATAAGAAAAACACATTTTGATTTTCATATTTAATACACTTAACTGGGGTTAAATATTTACATTTCTTTTCTCTTTATTTTGCTAGTTTATACATATATTTTTGACCCACTTTAGTATTTTATTTATCATAAAAATCACTAAAAGCAGAATTTTTAGCGTCACAGATTGTTCTTTTAGACTCTCTGCGAGTTGTTTGATATTTTTTTCAATTCTCTAAACTTTTATAATTAAACCAAATACATAACTTCTTATATTTTATCTTTTCTTGCACGTTATTTTTCCACCACCAAGTATTTTTGTTTATGGAAATATTTTTTTGAATTCTTCGAGTACATCTTTTGCTACTTGTTTAATAGTGTTTGTTACTGCATCTCACATAACATTTGTTTCTTCATGAACATCCCAAATTTTGAACTCTTAAAAATAATTTTATTTGTGTCTTTTAGGTTCCTTCATCTATTTCTACGATGATGAGTCCTAACATTTTTTAATTTATAACTCTTCATCTCAAAATCTAGAACTAATAATCAATGTTGGGTACTTAAATCCTCACTTAGAATGAGCTTACAATCTCGATGATCTCTTCTTCTCATACGAAAACAATTAATTTGTGTTTTATTATATCCATTCTTATAAGTAATAAGATACTCACCTCTTTTCTTGAATAAAGTATTACTAATAAAAAAAATCATACACTAAAGCAAAATCTAAAATGACCCTACCTTCTTCATTAGACCCTCCAAAACTGTAGCTACCATGAATATTTCTGAAATCTTCTATCACTCTACCGACATTACATTTAAATCCCCTACAATAAATATTCTTTCTTCAAGGGGTATCATTTGTATTAAATCTCCTAAGTCATTCCAAAATTTATGTTTAGACTCTACATCCAAACCTACTTGAGGAGCATAAGCACATATAATATTAAAAATCTTAGTATCAATAATAATTTTAAGGGCTATAATTCTATCACCAAATCTATTATTTTTTTACAATATTATCTTTCAAATTATTATCTATAATTATACCTACATCATTTTTAGTGCAACTCTTATTAGAATACCAAAGTTTAAAAGCTAAGTTATCAATCTCCTTAGCCTTTTCTCCCACCCATTGAGTTTATTGAATGCATGAGATATTAATCTTTCTATGAATCATAATATGAACTAATTTCATTAATTTACCATCGAGAGTACCTATATTCCAAGATCTTATCTATATTCCAAGATCTTATCTTAATTAATTTTAGTTTCATTAGTTTCATGGACTAACTTCTTTTCCCCATGAATCCGTAATTTAGGGACCATTATTTATTTGACACTACATCCGGTGTAGCAACTCTTACACAATGATCAAAAGGATTAATGTCATGATTTTTTCGACATGTTTTATGCTGGTTGTTGACATCTAATGCATCCCTTCACTTTTCATATCCAGACTTGAGATCGACAATGACAGTGTTAATTAATAAAATATATTACATTAAATTTAATCATTTTAATTGTTTTTAATAACTATTAATTAGTTCAATAAAAATTAATAGATTTGAATTTATTATTTAATCAAATTAGTTCAATATAATTACCATTAATGATTGATTAGTTCAGTAAACATTTAATTATTAAATAGTAAAATTATGCATAGAAATTTTAAAGTAAATTTAATAAAATGTAGTAATCACATTATTCAATATTAATATTATTGCTCTTAAAGATATTTGAAAATCATATGTTAGTTAAGAAATACGGGGATTTAAATTTTGGCATAAATATGCTTTTAAAACTTTTAATTATCTAAATCTTATTAAACCCTTATCAAATTGTAAAATAGTTTGTCGAGATATATTACGGTTTACTTGGATGTTAAATAGTTTTTAGGATTTAATAATACCTTTATAATCTTATAAATTTGGATTTAAAATATTTAATTAAATCCTAATTGCCCCTAAATTTGCATTCATCCATCCATGTAGTTTAGGCTTTAGCCTTTCAGGAAGGAAAATGCATTTTTTAGTTATTATGAATATAACGCTGAAACATAAGGACCTTTCGGAAATTTGCTTTGTGCCTGTTATTAGTTTAGATTATTGAGAAATATAAAATGATTTTATTGTGGGAGCCTTTTTTTAGTTTTTTTTTTACAAAACGATGGAACACCGTAGTTTTGCCAGTTTAGATAAACTGTATTTTATATTTTTTTTCGAAAAATTACCGCTGAAATCATCATTTTTCCACCAATTCTGGCTAAGCGCGGTCAAAAAATAAAGTTATAATAGCCGCCACAACTTTTTGCAACATCAGATTATTCTTCAGCAGTTTCATAACTGTTTTTTAATAAGTTGTAGCTGTCCCTAAAATTTAAAGGAAATTTTATACGTGTAACACAAAATGTTAATGCATTTTCATATCCACACTTATTTTCATATTTATATGCCCACTTCTTTGGTGCTTTAACTCTATTAATTCAAATATGTATTTGATTTAAAAAAATCATTATTTTTAAGTGTGTTAGAAGATTTGCGACGTCATAGTGGTTATTTAGCATCGTCTTAACATTGTTGAAAACCTAGTACACACTCAGATAATTAAATTGATATGTATACACATCATAAGTTTTTTACGTGTAAAACATGAGAAAAAAAACACATAGTCTAGCCCAGCTGAAATAATTCATTATATAATCATAAGTAAACATGTTCACTATTTCTTTGACTTGGGAAATATGAAATTACAAAGTTGATGCACATCAATACTTTCGCAATAATAACTTCGATGGGTCGATAAGGTCATAATCAATTGATGAGAAGATAGTAGTCGGAAGTAAATGTAGTAGATTATGGTCATAACATCAACTTATTTTAGAGCTTCTAATTGAAATTCGTGGTAAGAGTTGGTCATGTGGGTCGTAGATGATTGTTTCAAGACTTTGTTCGTCCGCAGAGATTATAGCAGGAAGCTACTGAAGTTTTGAGTCAGATAGGTTGTTGTCGATCACATGTGTTGTAGTGGTGAACTACGAGAACGCCTGTAGGCCACTGAGGTTGGAGTCGGGAGTTGTGTGAGCTATAGACTACGTAAACAATAGTGTTGATTTGTGATAATGTTCATATGTCACAAAGATCAAAGTTAGGAGTTAGGCGAGTTGTGATGACGTATGTAAGCCACAAAGCTAGAATTGTGAGTTGCACAAACAGTGATAACGTTGGTAAGTCGTAGAGCTCAGACTTGAGAAATATATGTTATGGATCACATACGTTATAGTTAGTCACGTGGGCCGTTGTGGTAAACTGTAAAGAGAGAGATTCAGAGGT